GAGAGAGGAGGAAGAAGAAGAGGAGGAAGAGGAGGAGGAGGAAGAGGAGGAAGAGGAGGAGGAAGAAGAAGTGAGGAAACCAAGCCAAGTGGGAGTTCACGGTTTTGTTTATGTTAATTGGTAATTCCGGGTTGGAGTCGAGTGGGAAAACAACAAGAAACTGGGAATACCGCGAACAAAATCGGAGGGATTATTCGTCTCTTAAGTGGATTTCGGCCTCCTGTTCAGGGATCGTGGACGGCACAGTGATTTGACATTGACTAAACCCACTCCCCCCTTTTCTTTTTTCTTTTTTTTTTTTAAAACACCCTCTCTCCCGCCGGACCTCCACTCTCCGATGCGGAGATCTCAGTAGCACCGCCGACCAGACCCCCTCCCCGGCGGCCGGACATGCTGAAGTGTATCCCCCTGTGGCGCTGCAACCGCCACGTCGAGTCGGTGGACAAGCGGCATTGCAACTTGCAGACGGTCCCCGATGAGGTCTTCCGCTACAGCCGCAGCCTGGAGGAGCTGCTCCTCGATGCCAACCAACTCAAGGAGCTACCAAAGGTACACAGGGGGCCACATGACCCCCAAAAAAAGTGTCATGTGTCGTTTAAAAATTTGTTTTTCCCCTCCTCCTTTCACCTGAACACACAGGAGCTGTTGCACATACTTGGTGTTTATTTGGCTTATTTGGAGGGATAAAGGTTGCTGCCAGGTGGTATAAGCTGTAAGAGAGCTTGCATGATGTCACCTGTGCAGGTATTTTCAGTAAAGGCAGCTCCCTGGAAATGGGTTTGGTCACATAGATGGGTGAGATAATGATAATGAATCCCTTCCTGCAGTAGTAGTAGATGTGTCAAAATCTGCTCCTTTCTTGAGTTGTATCGCGTTATTTAACTTGAGTGCGAGATGATAAAGAGCAAAGGGTGTTGAGATGCTTTTAAAGTGCAGTGCTTCGTGCTTCAGAGGGACTAATCCGGACCACAACAGCTGGCACACAACATGTAGCCTGTAGTATTGGCATCAGATGTGTGTGGGAAGGCATGTGTATGTGTGGAATGAACTGCAACGCCCACACTCCCACTACTCCAAATATGTGACTAAATGTCTCTTTGTGAAGTTTATTTTGAGGCGGAGGAGGATTGTTGTGGGTCTGTGGGACAAAACGCTTCTGCTCTTCTTGTTTTTATTCAGCTCAAACATTTAATGTCTGTAGCTCGGCGGTGTGAAGGACAATCTCTTCACATGTGTTAGTTTTTAGACACGAGTTCTTATTTTAGATCAGCTCTGTTCTGAGGTAGTTTGGTAAAAGATGGGCTTTAATTAAAAAAATAATAAAAAGAAATTAAAATAAAAAATAAGTAAGAAGAAAAAATAATAATAATAAAAAAGAATAAAAAGAAATTAAAATAAAGAATAAGTAAGAAGAAAAAAAAAAGTAAGAAGAAAAAAAATAAAATAAATAAAAAATAATAAAAAATAAAATAAGTAAGAAGAAAAAAAATAAAAATAAAAATAAGTAAGAAGAAAACAAATAAATAAATAAATAAAATAAGTAAGAAGAAAAAAAATAAAAATAAGTAAGAAGAAAAAAAATAAAAATAAAATAAGTAAGAAGAAAAAAAATAAAAATAAAAATAAGTAAGAAGAAAAAAAAATAATAAAAAATAAAATAAGTAAGAAGAAAAAAAATAAAAATAAAGATGGGCTTGTGCACAACCACTCCGGGGTTCAAAAGTTGCTGAATCTTTTGCCCTGATTGGGGTTTTTACCTGCAG